GGCCCTTTTTGTTTTGTTTAATGTATACCACGTTTATCTAGGCCCTTTTTGTTTTGTTTTATGTATACATGTCACACTGTGGGAAACGATATTTCGATATTTCTGGATGTGTGCAACTCGTTTTTGACAAGAAAGCTACTGGAGACTTCTAGAATTGTGTGAGTAACACTGTGTTTGTAGACTTCTCTGTTTCAGTGTGTGTACTCTGTATCAATGCTCTGTAGTTGATCTGACTGGAATTGTGTTTTTAAAAACTCAAAACCGCTACAGCATCTGTCAGACAGAAACTTGGGAAAAGTCATTTGACTGAAACCTTAAAAGTGAACTAACTGACTACTAGGGTTAACTTTGATTTAAACATTTGTAGAATACTAAGAGCTTTATTGAGTAGGTGTAACTGTATTAAGGGTTAAACTCATAACTTTATAATTTAGGGTTTAATGTAATTGACTTAAAAGACAATAACACATCAGGAGGAAGCCAGTCTAGATTTCCTTTTGAGGGCCACCAGCTGCAGTTAACTAATTAAAAGGACGTTGCCCCACAGCTGTGAGAACTCAGCAATCAGGTGTCCATTTTAGGTAGCACTTTCCTGGAGCGTCAGCTTCAGCGTCAGACAGGCTAAGACATTAGAGTCCTGTGGGAGTCACGAGGGAGGCAAAGAGGAGGCAAATCCTACTTTGATTGAGCTAAGTATCGCTGGTGTTTTTATTTTGTTTTATTTTATTTGGTTGTTTAGCCCCTCATGCTATAATCATGTGTATTTTCTCCATTCCTGTTTATGTGTCTTCTCGCAATTATCACTGGCCCCGTGTATCTCGTAATCGATATAATCCGGCCGGCTCTCATCTATCCCACATGCTCCACTGAGATCCAACATCTAGTTTCAGGTGGCCTGTGGAACTGCCAGTCAGCTGTTCCTAAGGCTGACTTCATCTCTGTCTACGCCTCCCTGCAGTCTCTGGATTTCCTTGCTCTCTCTGAGACGTGGATTACTCCATCCAACACATCCACCCCAGCAGCTCTCTCCACTGCATATTCCTTCTCCCATACACCCAGACCAACTGGCAGAGGAGGTGGCACTGGTCTCCTGCTCTCTCCCAAATGGAGCTTTTCCCTCTTCAAGCTACCTAACTTCACTCCTTCCACCTTTGAATTCCATGCCGTCACAGTAACCCATCCTATACAGTTAACCATTGTTGTTCTCTACCGTCCACCAGGCGCCTTGGGGGACTTCTTGGAGGAATTAGATAATCTCCTCTCACACATCCCTGAAACTGGCCCTCCCGCTGTACTTCTCGGAGACTTCAACCTCCAGACGGGGAAGATAGACGAACTAACATCTCTGTTAACCGCCTTTGCTTTCTCACTGTCTCCGTCCCCACCGACTCATAAAGCTGGCAATGTCCTTGATCTCATATTCTCAAGGAACTGCGCTACTTCTAACCTCTCTGTAAACCCGCTCCACACATCCGATCACTTCTTAATTTCATTCTCTCTATCCCTTTCCAAACATAACAAACTAATCTCTTCTCATCCTGCACTTGTCCGCCGTAACCTTCGCTCCCTCTCCCCCTCTACCTTTGCCTCGTCGGTGCTCTCAGCCCTCCCTTCCTCTGACTCGTTCCAACTCCTGCCTCTAAACTCTGCTGCAGAAACTCTCCTCTCTACTCTCTCATCCACTCTGGACTCGCTCTGTCCTCTCACATCTCGGCAGGCTCGTCAGTCCCCTCCTGCTCCCTGGCTAAATGATGCACTGCGTGCTAATAGAACCGTCCTTAGGGCAGCAGAGCGGAAATGGTGGAAATCCAAACACCGTGACGACCTCCTAACCTATCAAGCTCTCCTCTCCTCTTTCTCTGCTTCGATCTCTCAGGCAAAAAGCACTTTCTTTCAAGATAAGATCCAATCTTCCTATTCCAATCCTAAAAAACTATTTTCCATCTTCTCCACCCTCTTGGACCCTCCAAAAGCTCCTCCCCCCTCCTCACTTCTGTCAAGCGACTTTGTTACCCACTTTGAAAAAAAAGGTTGATGATATTCGCTCTTCTTTTTCTGACTCACCTTTACTCACCGCTGGGTCACCAGACCCTCCTTCCACCAACACACTTACCTCCTTTTCCCCTCTCTCTCCAAGTGAGGTTCTTACCCTCATTACCTCTGCCCGCCCTACCACCTGTCCTCTGGACCCTATCCCTTCAAACCTCCTTCAGACTATCGCTCCTGATATTCTACCATTTCTCACCCATTTCATCAACACTTCTCTAACTTCTGGTCACTTTCCAAACAGTCTCAAGGAGGCAAGAGTAAACCCTCTCCTAAAGAAACCCACTCTCAACCCGTCTGATGTTATAAACTACAGGCCTGTCTCTCTCCTCCCGTTCCTGTCTAAATCACTTGAATGCGCTGTCTTTAAACAACTCTCCTGTTATCACAATCAGAACAACCTTCTGGATCCGCACCAGTCTGGTTTCAAGGCAGGTCACTCCACAGAAACTGCTCTCATTGCTGTCACGGAGGAACTGCACACTGCCAAAACTGCATCCCTCTCCTCTGTCATCATCCTGTTGGACCTGTCTGCTGCATTCGACACGGTGAATCATCAGATCCTCCTTCGCACTCTCCAAAAAACTTGGAGTTTCAGGCTCTGCACTTTCCCTCCTCACCTCATACCTGAAAGACCGTACCTACAGGGTGACTTGGAGAGGGTCTGAGTCCGACCCTTGTCAATTAACTACAGGGGTCCCTCAGGGCTCTGTTCTTGGTCCCCTCCTCTTCTCCCTGTACACAAACTCGCTCGGATCAGTCATTAGCCCGCATGGTTTTTCTTACCACTGCTACGCTGATGACACCCAATTAATTATGTCCTTTCCCCGCTCAGAGACCCAGGTCGTCGCACGCATCTCTGCTTGTCTAGCTGACATCTCTCAGTGGATGTCTGCTCATCACCTCAAACTCAACCTTGACAAGACTGAGCTGCTCTTCCTTCCGGGAAAAGATTGTCCCACTCTTGACCTAACAATCAACATCGGCACCTCAGTTGTTTCCCCGACTCAGACTGCAAGGAATCTGGGTGTGACCCTAGATAACAACCTGTCCTTCACTGCAAACATCGCTGCTACAACCCGTTGCTGCAGATACACGCTTTACAACATCAGGAGGATACGTCCCCAGCTGACACAGAAAGCGACTCAGGTTCTGGTCCAGGCTCTCGTCATCTGACGCCTAGACTACTGCAACTCCCTCCTGGCTGGTCTACCTGCATGTGCCATCCGACCTCTGCAGCTCATCCAGAATGCAGCGGCTCGTCTGGTCTTCAACCTTCCAAAATTTTCCCACACTACTCCGCTCCTACGCTCGCTTCACTGGCTTCTGGTAACTGCTAGAATCCACTTCAAGACACTGGTACTTGCTTACCATGCTGCGAATGGATCTGGCCCTTCGTACATCCAGGACATGGTTAAACCGTACACCCCAGCGCGTGCACTACGCTCTGCATCAGCCAAACGACTCGCTGCGCCCTCGCTGCGAGGGGGACCCAAGTTCCCAACGGCGAAAACACGTGGGTTTGCTGTCCTGGCTCTAGGATGGTGGAATGAGCTCCCCATTGACATCAGGACGGCAGATAGCTTGCACATCTTTCGGCGCAAACTGAAAACTCATCTCTTTCGACTCCACTTCGAGCGATAGAACTATTAACGAAGCACTTTTATACTAATAAAGGACTGGCTTTTCTAAAGCCAGTTGAGTAGCACTTGAAATGTTTTTGCTCTATGAAACCTGATGTACTTATATGATTCTGTTTTCTTCAAGTTGTATTTTGTTGGTCGAACGCACTTATTGTAAGTCGCTTTGGATAACAGCGTCAGCTAAATGCAATGTAATGTAATGTAATGTATAACACATGTATAATTTTTGACAATAAAGCTGACTTTGACTTTCGCGTGCTTGCATATTTTGACAAAGCTTTTCATTTTAGCCACACTGAATTTAACTAGAAGTCATGGCTGTGTCAATTACCAGTCTGATATTGTTTTACAAAGATGACAAGAAGAGTGTAGATAGAGGAGAGAACCACTACAAGTCAGGACATGTAAAACAGTGCAGCCTAGATGAAGGTGTGCTTACCGGTGTTGTCAGGGCTAGCATGAGGGACAAGGTTTATAGTGTCGGTGAGTAGTGATAGCAAGAGTACCGTTAACCTAAAGTTAATTTATTCACATTAGTGACATTAATTCCCATCAACAAATCCATTTTATGTGTCACATGAAATCTTTATTAGGCAAGGCAAGTATATTTATATAGCACATTTCAACACAAGGCAATTCAAAGTGCTTTACAAAAATGAAAGACATTAAGAAAATGGCATTTAAAATCAGTCATTAAAAAGAAAAGCTAATAAAATAAACATTAAAAGAAAAAATACATGGACAAAAGTTACAGTGCAGTCTAAGATATGAATAGTTCAATTAAAAGCAGCGGCAAAAAGAAAAGTCTTTAGTCTGGATTTAAAAGTAGTCAGAGTTGTAGCGGACCTGCAGGTTTCTGGGAGTTTGTTCCAGATATTTGGAGCATAATAACTGAACGCTGCTTTTAGTTCTGACTCTGGGGACAGAAAGCTGACCAGTCCCTGAAGACCTGAGAAATCTGGATGGTTCATAATTTAGCAGCAGGTCAGAAATGTATTTTGGGCCTAAACCATTCAGTGCTTTATAAACCAGCAGCAGTATTTTGAAATCTATTCTTTGACACACAGGAAGCCAGTGTAAAGACTTCAGAACAGGAGTGATGTGATCCACTTTCTTAGTGTTAGTGAGGACTCGAGCAGCGGCGTTCTGAATCAGCTGCAGCTTTCTAATAGATTTTTTAGTGAGACATGTGTAGCAGGATGAGCAGTAAATGTGTTGTAAGGCATATTATTTTTTTGCTTGTCACCGCCAGGGGGCACCTTATAAAGGGGCAGAGGCTTCTAGCTGGCGGCCTCTTGTTCGCTGCTGCCCAGACCTACCCACTTCCGTTCTTGCCGTGTTTTGCTTCCGCCACCGGCGTAGGTATGTTGTAGGAGAATAGCTGGCTTCAGGTAAAGTTTCACAATTCTCTATCATACTTACGTGTAGTCACGTTTTGTTTTGTATAGCGGAGGGTCTTCCTGGCGATGCCCGTCAAGTAGCCGTAACATAGAGAGCATGAAACTCTCTCCTCTCTGCCTGATCGGTATGTACGGCGATTTGTTCAGTCCATTCACCCACACCTTTCCTGAACATTAATATTATACTTGTGTGTTTATTGTTAATCTAGGGCCAAGCTAAGGCTTTAAAGAACCGCTGCTGTTTTGCTGCACCGAAAAGAGACGGGTTTCTGACGCAGGGTCATCACCCGTACTGCTGATCCTGTGTGCTGCTAAATGCTAGTTGATTGTCTGCGTCTGTCTATCGTGTCTGGTCCGGTTTGGCATTGCCTACGGCAGTACCATCACCTGCCCTACCGATCCTGTGCTGCTGGACACTACTTAGATTTTTCGCTTTTGGCTACTGTGGTTGGGCCGGTTTAGCGTGGCCTACTCTGCACTATAGGTCCGCTCCCCTAGTGGGATTTTAGTGACTGGACTGCTGGGCTAACTCCTTCTGTTTAGTTATTCTTTCCTTCACCAATTGAAACTATTTTGTTTACTTTGTTCCTTTTCATTAATAGTTTGTTTTTGTGGGATCCCTCTACTCATTCGTTGACCCTCTCCCCCACTGGTAAGCCTCAGCCCCCTTGTTCGTTCTCCCTTTTTGATATAGCCCTGTGTGACTGTTTTTATAAATTGTATTTTTACTATTGTATACAAATAAACTGTTCTATTTTGATAATTGGACCACGTCTCTTTGTTCCATGAGTAACCGAACCTGTGTGTCCTAGTGACTTAAAACTTGTCACATTTCCCTGGGTGAAATTCCCGGGGTGGCGTTGTCGGACTAGTGGTTTAACAAACTGTTAAATTAATATATTTATTCTGCGGCCACTGCTACAAACTGGCGTTGTCTGCAGGATTGCTTGCCTCTCCAGCTCTGGTTCGGGTGGAAAGGGGCACCGCCTACATCCCTATTGTGAACGTAGGCTCCGCAGACGTGTTGCTCTATCCCCGCACACTTGTAGGCACACTCGACAAAGTTAGGCTGGTTAACTTGCCTGTTGGTGTCACCGAAGTACCATCTAGTGTGGCCAGAGTGGCATCCCAGGCTGCCTTTCCCTCGGTGCCTGACCAGCTGGATGCTCTAGACCTGTCTTCCTTGCCTGCTGAAGAACAGGTTAAGGTACGGTCTCTTTTGACAAAGCACACATCTGTCTTTTCTGCTCACGAAGGGGACTTGGGTTGCACCACCTTGATCTCTCATGACATCCCTCTTCTTGATGACGTCCCCGTGAAGCAACGCTATAGGCGCATTCCCCCGTCTGAGTACGAGGTAGTGAAGGAGCACATCAACCAACTTCTTGAGTCACATATCATAAGAGAGAGTTGCAGCCCCTACGCATCCCCCATCGTGCTAGTGAAAAAGAAAGATGGCAGCCTGCGCATGTGCGTAGACTACAGGCAGCTGAACAGCAAAACCAGGAAAGATGCTTTTCCTCTCCCTCGAATCGAAGAGTCCCTTGATGCGCTGACCGGTGCCCGCTGGTTTTCCACTATGGATTTAGCCAGTGGGTATAACCAGGTACCAGTTGCAGAAGCAGACCGGCCACAAACTGCGTTTTGCACCCCGTTTGACCTCTTTGAGTGGAATCGGATGCCCTTTGGACACTGCAATGCTCCTGGCACCTTCCAAAGATTTATGCAGCGGATCTTCGGGGACCAACAATGCCAATCTTTGCTTTTATACCTTGATGAGATCGTGGTATTCTCTTCCACCGTGGATCAACATCTTGAGAGGTTGGAGGTCGTGCTGAGAAGGCTACAGCATGAGGGCTTAAAGGCTAAGCTCTCAAAGTGTGCTTTCTTCCAGCGAGAGGTGCGTTACCTGGGCCATGTGATTTCTGACCAGGGTGTCTCTACTGATCCCAGCAAACAGGAGGTGGTAGCCAGTTGGCAGCCCCCCACTACCATCTCTGGTCTGCGGTCGTTCCTTGGTTTTGCGAGTTACTACCGTAGGTTTGTGGAGGGCTTTGCCAAATTGGCGGCCCCTCTACATACGTTGGTGGCTGAGTTGGGAGGCACCAAGTCCAAAAGGAGATCAGAGCGTGACATTGCTGGGAACTGGACTGAGGAGTGTCATAGGAGCTTTGAGGCTCTCAAGACAAAGCTCACCACGGCACCTGTGCTTGCCTATGCCGACTTCTCCCTCCCATTTATTCTGGAGGTCGACGCAAGCTTTGGTGGCCTCGGAGCTGTGTTATCACAGGGAGAAAGGTGGTAAGGTCCATAGCTTATGCCAGCAGAGGTCTGAGGGCCCACTGAACGCAACTCTGCCAACTACAGCTCTATGAGGCTGGAGTTTTTGGGGTTCAAGTGGGCCATGACTGAGAAATTCAGGGAATATCTGCTTGGTCATAAATGTATTGTCTTCACTGACAACAATCCCCTGAGCCACCTGTCCACGGCAAAGCTTGGAGCCACTGAACAACGTTGGGCAGCCCAACTTGCGTCTTTCGACTTTGAGATTAAGTACCGCTCTGGTAGAAGTAATGGAAATGCTGATGCCCTGTCCCGTCAGCACCCACCAGGGGTACAAGATCTTGAAGCTATGCTCCCTAGCACCTCGCTCCCCTTGCCTTTACGGCAAGCCTTGCCAGTAGCACAGGCAACCCAAGCAGCTGTCATAGCCTTGCCTCATCATACACAGTCTGATATGGAGGCACTTCAGCAAGCCGACCCCGTCCTTCAGGAACTCTTGGTGTTCTGGAGAAGGAGGCAGCGTCCAAGCAATGATGAGAGGAAGCAGTTGTCCCGGCAAGCATTGGCACTGCTCCGCCAATGGGACCGGTTAGTTGAGAGGAGTGGGGTCCTCTATCGCCAGATCTTTTGCTCTGATGGGGCCGAAGCAGTTCTGCAGCTGCTTTTGCCAGCTGCTTTGAGAGAGCAGGTGCTCACCGAAGTCCACCAGAGGCATGGCCACCAAGGTATTTAAAGAACCTTGGAGCTACTTAGGCAGCGGTTTTACTGGCCAGGTATGTCCTCCGAGGGGGTACATTGGTGCAGCAGTTGTGAGAGGTGTAAAATTGCCAAGGACACTCGACCAGCGGCTCGTGCTCCCATGGGACACTTGCTGGCTTCTAGACCCAATGAAATTCTAGCCATTGACTTCACTGTCTTGGAGCCCACCTATAGTAGGTTGGAAAATGTCCTTGTAATTACAGACATTTTTAGCAAGTACACTTTGGCCTTTGCCACCTGTGACCAACGAGCCTCCACTGTGGCTCAAGTTCTGGTCACAGAATGGTTTTCAAAGTTTGGTGTCCCCGCCCGTATACATTCAGACCAAGGCCGAAACTTTGAGAGCATTCTTATCCAACAACTTTGCAGCCTCTATAACATCGAAAAATCTCGCACTACTCCCTACCATCCGGCAGGCAATGGTCAATGTGAACGGTTCAACCAAACCCTTCACAACTTGCTGCGTACTCTGCCTCGGAAACGGGATTGGAACTCTTGCTTGCCACAACTACTGTATTCGTACAACACTACTCCCCCATCAGTCAACTGGTGAATCTCCATTCTTGTTGATGTTTGGACAAGAGCCAAGGCTCCCAGTTGATTTTCTGTTGGGTACAGTCCCTGATCCAGTCGGTGGTCCTGTCCATGAGTGGATTCAGGAGCATCAGGCAAAATTGCAAATTGCCTTTGAAGGAGCTCAAGAGAGGTTAAAAACGGCAGCAGAGCGCAGAAAGAGGTGCCATGACCAGTATGTCAAAGATGTCCCATTGAACGAGGGCCAGTTAGACTGGTTGCGAGATTGTGGTGCAAGAGGGCGCCATAAGACCAGGGATATTTGGAGTTCTGTCAGGTGGTGAAAGCACCAAACGGCGGTTCGGTGTACACGATTGCACCTGCAAACGACCTGACCAAAACCAAATGGGTCCACCGCACTTTGTTGAAAGCTGTGATTGGCACACACTCCAGATGGTCTCCAGATGATGTCCCTGTCCCTCTCTCAATTCCTCCTGACTCACCACAGTCAGATGATGAGCTTTCCTTTGATGGTGACCTGTGGGTTTCAAGAAATGAAGCTCCGAATCCTCCTTCTACCAGATCAGCTGTGGTGACCCAAGAAACCCCTTGGTGGCTGCCTCCACCATCTGACGAAGCCTCCATTGAGCTCTCGCTGCCATGCCAGAATTGCCTTCCCCTCGCTTGGCTATCCCTTCATCCACTTGCCCTGAATCTAGCGCAGTGACCTTGCGACGGACACCACGGTTAACCGCTGGGCAGCATCCTAATGTCCATCATCTCCCGAGAGCGTTGGGAGCATTGGGGGCGCCTGTGGCTGACTCTCCTGGTCCGGTTGTGTCTAACTCGGTGTCTGTCATCTTTAGACCTTGGGCCTAGGTTAGCTAACCTGGGCTTGATTTGTACATCGTCGGGGTGACGATGAAAATGGGGGGGTAGATTGTAGCAGGATGAGCAGTAAATAGTGTTGTAAGGCATATTCTTTTTTTGCTTGTCACCGCCAGGGGGCACCCTATAAAGGGGCAGAGTCTTCTAGCTGGCGGCCTCTTGTTCGCTGGTGCCCAGACCTACCCACTTCCGTTCTTTCCGTGTTTTGCTTCCGCCACCGGCGTAGGTATGTTGTAGGAGAATAGCTGGCTTCAGGTAAAGTTTCACAATTCTCTATCATACTTACGTGTAGTCACGTTTTGTTTTGTATAGCAAAGGGTCTTCCTGGCGATGCCCGTCAAGTAGCCGTAACATAGAGAGCATGGAACTCTCTCCTCTCTGCCTGATCGGTATGTACGGCGATTTGTTCAGTCCATTCACCACACCTTTCCTGAACATTAATATTATACTTGTGTGTTTATTGTTAATCTAAGGCCAAGCTAAGGCTTTAAAGAACCGCTGCTGTTTGCTGCACCGAAAAGAGACGGGTTTCTGACGCAGGGTCATCACCCGTACTGCTGATCCTGTGTGCTGCTAAATGCTAGTTGATTGTCTGCGTCTGGCTATCGTGTCTGGTTCGGTTTGGCATTGCCTACGGCAGTATCATCACCTGCCCTACCGATCCTGTGCTGCTGGACACTACTTAGATTGTTCGCTTTTGGCTACTGTGGTTGGGCCGGTTTAGCGTGGCCTACTCTGCACTATAGGTCCGCTCCCCTAGTGGGATTCTAGTGACTGGACTGCTGGGCTAACTCCTTCTGTTTAGTTATTCTTTCCTTCAGCAATTTAAACTATTTTGTTTACTTTGTTCCTTTTCATTAATAGTTTGTT